AATATCATCTATGAAAATGATCACAAACTCATCTAGGTACTCCCTGAATACGTCATTCATCAACTTCATGAATGCAGCTGGCGCATTCGTCAAACCAAACGGCATGACCAAAAACTCGTAATGACCATACCTTGTCCTAAAGGCAGTCTTACGCACATCTGTCTCCTCTATGGGTATTTGATGGTACCCTGATGCCAAATCGATCTTAGAGAACCAAGTAGCTCCCCTGAGCTGGTCCAACAACTCGTCTATCCTGGGAAGTGGATACTTGTTCTTCACGGTCACACGGTTTAATCCGCGGTAGTCAATGCAAAGCTTGAAGCACCCATCCTTCTTCTTCACGAACAACACTGGTGCTCCCCACGGTGAACTACTAGGTCTAATGAACCCTTTGTCCAGCAACTCCGTTAGCTGCATCTTCAGTTCCGCCATCTCAGCTGGTGCCATCCGGTATGGTGCTTTGGACAATGGAGCTGTCCCCGGCTCAAGTTCAATCGTGAACGGATCTGAACGAGCTGGTGGCAGTCCTGCCAACGCCTGAAAAACAACCTCAAATTCCTGCACCACCGGTATACTGCCCGAGTCTACATCCGGTCCTTCTTCTGTGGTAGTGATCGTTTCTAAATACGCCTCACAACCCATCTCTGTCAGCCGTTCTGCTTGAATAGCTGAAACCACCAAACTTCCCGAGGTTGATCTAACTCCCTGATAAACCAAGACCTCTCCGTCTCTCTCAAACTGCACCCTTCCACGGTGACAATCCAAGTGAGCTCTGTGTTTGCCCAACCAGTCTATTCCCAAAATGACATCGTAGGACTTAACTCTACAGATCACTAGATCCGCTGGCATGTTCACTTCGCCAAACATCACTAGAACATTCTTGACCGTTCCTAATGAAAACATCACTTGGCCTCCAGCCGCTTGTACTAACCCAAAGTCCTCTCCGGGTTCCTTCCGGAACTGTCCATTTCCGATCATGTCCGGATTAACAAAACAATGACTCGCTCCCGAGTCTAACAGAACATGAGCCTCAACCTCACCCATTAGCAAGGTCCCTACACATTCATTCCCTGGAATGCTAAGACTCTATACTAACACACATCACGCAAAAGTAATTTAAGAAAAACACTATGTACCACACGTACCAGTAATCGGATGAGAAGTTCTCGGTTCCTCGGCTGCTGTTGCACTCATCGTGTACACCCTCGGCATAATGGCCTGTGATGCAAGCGTCTCCCCTGCTCTCTTCCCTTGAGCCACGGCTTGCTTCACCACTCCCGCCTTAGGACACTCACACTTGAAATGCCCTGGTTCTCCACAACCGTAGCAAACCCGAACCGTACCATCACTGCCGGACACGGACCACTCGCTGATCCTCCTCCGGACAGTCTCGTACCCGATGCTCTAAACTCCTGCACCTGTGGCATCCACTACCACCGCGCCTACACTCGCCAACGTGAGCTTTGCCACACTTGCTGCACACGCTGCGTCCCCAAGATCCTTTGTTAGGTACTCCCTTCCCAAACTTCCGGTTCTGTCCACTAGACTGACTCGCCTTGGTCACGGCTGTACTAGCCCCAGCTGACATCAAAGCAGCTTCCGCCTATCCTGACTCCAACAATGCCGCCTTCTCAATAAGCTCAGCCACGGTCCTGAAGTCACGAACTACACACCCGTTCCTTAGCTCAACTCGCAGTCCACTCATAAACCTACGAATCAGCTTCTCCTCCGTGTCAAACTCATGAGACACATACTTCCTCAGCTGGTTAAACTGAGTCTCATACTGCCTCACTGTAAGCGTCCCTTGACTAAGGTACAAGAACGCCTTCTCCAACTCGTTGTAAGCTTCTTGTGGGAAGTACTTACTCCTGAACATTGCTGAAAATGTCTCATATGAACAATTCGCATTCACCAGCCTTCCAACGATTCCCTTCCACCACGTGTGTGCATCACCCTCCAAGTAGTGCACGGCTATGTCCTTCTTATAACTCTCTGGACATCGGATAGACTCAAAGTTCTGTTCCAGTCTCATCCTCCACTCATCTGCCTCAATCAGTGTAGAACCTCCAGCAAAGAATTTGGTTCCCAACCGCAGCATGTGATCAAAAACCTTGAGGTAACTCGGAACCCTCTCCACTTGGTCCGCTTCCTCCCCAATCACATCCGCTTGAACCCCCACCGGTGGTACTACATGTGGTGCTGCTGCAACCGCCGGAGCAGGAGCCACCGCAAGTAGCCTAGCTAGTACCTGTGCTAACATCCCAAGCACAGCCTCTAACCCCACTGGTGCTACATTCGCAGCATTCCTAGCCACGTTCTCAGCATCCGCATCATTCCTTGCCGCTTCCACGGCTGCCACTCTAGCCGCCTCATTTGCAACCGCGACTGCCTGTCTCTCGGCTTCCCTTGCCCTCTCAGCAACATCACCGTTGACTGAGTTCACAGACCCCGCAGCCTGGTTGTCCCCATTGTATCTCACGGTTCTTCTGGTATCAACCATCTGCAAGTACAACAATGCCAGTTAGCTGAAGCTAACTCAAAACGTGTTTCACAAGACCAAACAACAACTTACTGCGAGATCTTGGCAGTGAAGAATGGATCGGACCCCCATAAACCCCAAACAAGCAAACAACATCAGTCACCAATTTCAGTCCTAGAAGCGTTAAAACGCTCTGATACCAACTTGTGGTAACCCAACCCGGTAAACCGTACCGCGGCTGTGTCCCACTACATCCTAACAGTCCGTTTCTATACTTAGCCATATTTTAAAACTTTTTCCTTCATTCTTATTCTTTCTTATCAATACACAGCGGAATGTAAAACAACTCATCTTACTCATTTAACTATCATAAAACATTTAAACAGGATTCAGGATTATCAAATACCAAAGCACAAGGTTCGCTAATGATTACAACTGATCATCTAGCAACCTAACGATCAAACACCAAAGCCATATGACAAAGCACAATGTCTTAAACATAAATAAAACTCAGTCCCAATCCATCCATATCCATCACTGCCACCTGGTCTCGCCCCTTTACTGCTTAGTACCTGCACACTCAAGAAGAGAGGCATAAGTATTTCATAAATACTTAGTGAGTACGGTCATTCCGTAACACCTGGTCAGTACCAAACACGCAATCATACTTTTGGATTCAACATTCCACACAGTCAATTCGCAATAGACATAACAATATCAAACGACCATGATCATCTAACTTAACCAACCAAGTTCAATCCCTTTTTAAGACCCATGTCTACTTCAGCGAGAATCCCACATCTCCTAAGCTAGTACATGATCCGGATTACCCTGAGGTTAGGTGACATCATCTATGCCACGGTAAACACCTTAATATATCATAACATGAAACTTGCTTATCAGTTCTAAACACATAACATGAAAATCACACAATCAACATGCAAACATTCAACCCTAGCAATCCTACGGTTCTAGATACCAACCACAGTCACGCACTCACCTTAAACGAGGCTGGAAACAGATTGGTCAGAAGAAATCCCGATGAAATCCGCACCAAAACGAAGATATCTGATCTCCTTAAGAATCTCTCGGCTGTTCGTACGATCCGATCCTTTTCCCCTCGGCTATCTCTCGATCCGTTCACCTTTCTCCGAACCAAACTCTGTTTACCCTTGAAAACCCCACAAAACACGGCTATTAGCTCGAGGTTATCCGATGAAAACTCAACACTTAGGGAAATATCCGATCGCTTACCAGTTTATCTCGGCGATGGTCGGATCTGCTCGGCGATAACCTGATCTCTCTCGGATGTCCTCGGGATAAACTGTTTTTCTTAGGGTTTTCTCTCGACTATTCTCTTTTTTTGCTTTATTGCTCTCGAATAAACACAAATCTCCCGAGAAAAGTCTCTAAATCCCTTATAAACTCGCAAAACCCTAGATAACCCGGACTTATCCGACGTTTTCCTGGTTCCAGTAGGTTTTATCCCGGTCCGATTCGATTCTCTCGGTTATTTCCTGTACCCGCTTGACCATTCCCTCGATAAACCACAAAATAGCCGACCAAACACTTAGCCCACGGCCCAAATCCCTTCCCACTCGGATAAACCGCCCTTATCCGAGGTGTTTTCCATTTTTCACCCGGATATTCTTTATTCTCTCGGACAACTTGTCTCACCTCGGCTAATTCTCTATTTCTTTCGGAGGTTTTCCTTTCTCCCTCGGAGACAGTCCACTGAAACTCGGACAAACCTCCCAGACTCTCGGATAAATCCCACTGCATCGGGATAAATCCCATTTCCCACGGACTGGACCCTGTTTCCCTCGGATATGGTCCGTCCGGCTCGGCTATCCAGCCAACCATCCAACTATTTCCCCGGTCATCACCCGACCATAGTCCGAACCTCCATTTCCCAGCCAATATTCGACCCTTTGCTCGATTATTCCTCGGACAATCTGGTCCGATCATTCCGAATTCTCTCGGATACGCATGCTACAGTTTCAATCCAGAAATTTTTTCTTCATTTCAACAAAGTTAATAACAGTCCAATAATTGTCAAACTGTTTTACAGAAATCCATTAACAAACCCTAAGCCGAATTAAGTCTACTATCGTTCTCATTCTCCTTACCTAGACTCTATCTTCTTCTTCAACGATTATGTTACTTTCGCCATTGTAAGCGAAGCCGATCACTGTATGCACCTCCCAACCATCACCAAAGATTAGCCGCTCATATTTTTTTATCACAATTAAAACATTCACTAAATCCATTCAATTTCCAACCGTTACAGTGTTACTAAACATTGAAAGCTTTCAATCGTCCATTATCATCTTCTCCACTGTAACGTCAAAGAGGTATTATTACTGTCAAATTACTTCACCCCACTTCTCCACCATTAATTACAAATACAATTCACAGTTGCTCCTATATATAGATTCTTCTCTCCATTGCTAACTCTCATCTCTCTCATCCCTCCCATCTCTCAATTTTTCAATTAATTACAATTCCAACCATGGAAGGACCCTACGTCGGATTCTCTCAGCTTAAGTCCGGCCATGGTGTGCAGCGTGTTGTGGGTCGGTTGCTCCGATTTTGGTCTGCTCGCAACGTCAAAAAAGAAGGCCAACTGATGGGCGTTGACCTCCTCCTCATAGATGAATCGGTAAGCATTTCTTCCCTGACTCAACTTTCAGACTCTGAATATCCCACTGCCCAAGTTATTAATATATTGTTCTCTTAGTCTACATTAATGCAAGGTTCGATTCACCTCCACCACCTCTCAACATTTGAGCCACTGCTACATGAGGGATCAATGTATGTTATCACTGGGTTCGAAGTCACCAGGAGTAACCACCGATTCAAGATGACCGACTTCAACCTCTCCATCCGCTTCAATGAGAGGACTTCATTGGTCCAAATTCAAGAATCTTTCTGCAACATACCAACTGAGCTTTTCCGCTTCCACTCTCATCAAGAACTTCCCTCAATACGTCAATTGCAATACACCAGAACATTGTAAATTTACGTTTGTCACAAAAATTGGATTTGCAGACATCATCGGCCAAGTCTGCACAACAAAAGCATATCGCAATGAAGCTACAGAAGCCTTGGAAAGAATGTTGGTCCACCTCTGTCTCGAAAGGTACAGATTGCTTTTGCGCCAACTATTGATTTGTGAAATGTTTTCATATACCTAGACTTCTCCTCACAACATCATCATATCCCCTGCAGCGGTGAGAAAGTCTGGCTCAGTGCTTTTGATGCACACGCAACCTCACTGAACCAGATCTTTGGCACCAAAGAAGCTGGGACATGTGTGATGTTAGCCACTAATATTAATCCGAAGTATTTTGGAGGTTAATCGTAACACAACCCATATCTCTGTTTTTCATTTTAGTTTATTTTCACTCACTTTTAGCTTATAATCAAAATATTTTTCCTACTAGGTGAGTTATATCTGAATGCAACAGCCGCCACAAAATTCTACTTTGACGATGAGATGGAGGCTACGAGAGGTTTCCTGCCAAGGTTTAACTTTTTCATTTCTCTGTTTACAAAGCTACATGAAAAATTAGTTACTTTACAAACTGATTTCACACACTCAAAATAAGGTTGACGAGCAACTACAAAGACGGGATCCAATCTCTTGAGATATATCATGGGGTCCAAAAGATTGAACATCTTACCATTGCGGAACTCAACGACTTTCTGATCAAGTCAAACCTCAAAGTTTTAAATCGAACTCTGTTGCTAATCTATTTCATTCTAACCATCTCAGATATTATTATTACACCTACTTATCGCTTTTATAAATTGTAGGAGGCCGAGTTCTTATGCACTGCCACCGTTGTTGATATTCTCTCCACTAACGGATGGAGTTACATATCATGCTCCAAATGTGCTAAGAAGATGACCAGAGAGCAAACAACCCTAACATGCAACAACTGCCACTCCATCGATGCCGTGGGAGATGTCAAGTAAATAACACTTCCCTATTAAATATTTCATTACATTTAAGCTTCTCACTACAATGTCAAACTCGCCTCATCACAACAGTAATCCGATAGTATTATAAACCCCCTATCTCTCATTATTTGGTGTCCAATTAAAACCAGATATCGAGTGGAATTGGTTGTGGATGATGGTACTACCGGGTCAGTTTTTGTAGCTTTTGACAAAGACATGGTGAAATTGACAAATATGCAGGCTTCACAAATTGTCACGGAACAGGTATTATCCGTTCATACATTCCGTTTGCTAAGTTTATTATATAAAACAATTTATGTCTTTTTAAAAACTCTATTCCCTTACTACACTAACCCACATTTATTTATTTACTGGTCTTAGGATGACACACATCTAAATAACAGCGCCCTTCCACAGCAAATCCTCGACATTGTTGGAAAGAAATTCACATTCCACATCAAACTTACCTCATTCAATTTCACTACTCACCATCGGTCATTCACAGTCTCACGTATATTTGACAAGCTTCAAGATGCCCCAAAGCCTACCTTTGTTGAAAAGGTTCAAATCTCTCAAATAATTTGGCAAACGCTTCTAATCTCCATTAATAATTATTCTTAATTTTTTGTAGCAGCCGGTTCATGTAAACCTGGGAACCAATAGCCCTGCCTCCACAAGGGTCGTCATCTAACAACAACGCCAACTCCACCCACGCCCCAGCTATCAAAGAGACAGCAACAACCAATCCACCAACCTCCGGGAACGATGCCACCAAGAACGCATCAACCAGTGTCATCGACAACCTCATCCGCATAAAAGTGAAGCGCAACTAGAGTCCTACATTCCCTCCTCACTCCAAATAACCCATCAACGATTGTTTACCCTCTCAATTTCATGCATATCAAACATTCTCCCTACGTGGAGTTTTTTTTTTTTTTTTAGCATTCCAAATGTTTTATTTTAATCACTACAACTACCCTCCCTACGAGGAGAAGGCTTTGGCTTTAGTTTCTACCACGAATATCATGTATTCTCCACACATGATATTTGTGTTTTCTTTGTTTTTTAAATATTTTTTTACAACAGTATTTTCCTTCTTTTCAGCAAAACAAATCCAAAATAGCATAAATGATTACAACAAACGCCCACCAAATACTACGTACACGATCATAAAATATAACGTAGTATGTAAAATAAATAAAACGCATACTATAATATATTTTAATGAATTATTTTCATTTTCCTGTCAATGATGAGAATATTGGTTTGGAATCTGGATTAGTTAGGTTGCTCTATCTGTTTTGATTGTTTGACAAAAAAATATTATTATGAATAACCTATAATGTTATCACATTAGCAGACAATAATAAGGTTTTCTAAATTACTTTTAGTATATTAGTAAGAGATCAATGACTAATTCAGAAAAATAACTAAACATAAAATAAGAAAATTTGATCCATGTAGTATAATTTTCTATGTAGTTGAATATTGACACAGGATCGTTTCACAGATTCGACATTCCACCAAATGTTTACGTATTAATTAAAAAGAGATGGTTATTTAATATATGTAAAAAACTTTATTCCTCAAAGAATATGTAAGAATATGTTCCACATTATTGACACAAATAACCGCTACTTTTCAATGCAGTCAATTATAATTTGTTTTAAATGTTTCAAATTGTAACGTCAAGAACATTCACAAAGGACGGAATATCCAATACCTAAATTCACTTAGCATCAGCGACTTCTAAGAACCCAAAAAAAGGTTCATCAAACTATGACTGCAAACACCCCAAGAAGAGAGAAAAAATCACTCACTGATGAGAGTAGTAGTAGTACGAAAACCAGAATCCAAAAAAGTAAGCTATACTTTTGCTTACGCTTATGCATATTGTGCTCTGCAAATTTTAATGATTTTCACTTTACATTTGCAGGTCGTAAATATAAAAAAGAAAGACAACCATGGTTGACAGAAAAATATTACAACCAAATAGTAGAGTTTGTTCTTATCTCAGAAGGGTTAAAAGAAAGACAAAGTAAGGAAAAACAATGATCAATTTCCATACTACAAACAAATGCAAGCATATGTCTCCAACTCTTTCTCATGATTTTGCAGACTTATGTAGACGAGCTCGACAACTAAGACGTGCCATAAAATCATCCAGAAAGAACGCCACTGGATACAGAGGTTCCATTTCAAATTTAAACATGTCTTCTTTCCTGCAACAACAATTATTTATCAAATCATATTGATGAACCTCAAAAATTTAACAACTATTTTCATTTATTTTGCGAAATTTCAAATCACATTACCACGTCAACATCTTAATAGCTCTTTTCTGAAACAGGGACACGAACCCACACAACACCAGCTACCCACACCAAATGTAAGTAATCATATTCTTATTAGTAAACCCATTGACCGTGTTATTAATGTTGCCTCAAATACATTATATTGTCAAACTTACAGTTACTCGTGCGGATGGCCAATCTCTTGAAATCAGTTATACTTTCAAAGAATAATTGATCAAAGCTTTTCTGATTAGTGCTAGATAATTAAAACAATTACAACTTGCTCCTTTATATAGAGGAGACTTAACAACGATGGAAGCAAATAACACGAAGCAACTAACTCCTAAAAGCTCGCCATGTTCCAGATTCATGTCACACGACTTAGCAATTTATTCAAACAGAAAGACTACCAACTCCTACAATCTCGGGAAGACTTATTCTCTTTTGCTTTGACCAACATACCTTCCCCCAAACTGAATGCGACTAACGCATTACAGTTTGTTCTCTGCTTCTCTGCAGTTCCTGAACCCCGAGCACCTTCCTCAGCTTAACAAACGTCTCCAACTTCAAGGGTTTTGTCATAATGTCTGCGATCTGATTTTGAGTTCCACAATGAACTAGATTCACCTCTTCTTCCTTAACTAGTTCACGCAAGAAATGAAACCGTACCTGAATATGTTTAGTTCTCCCATGTAGGACTGGATTCTTTGATAACTTGATCGAAGAACTGTTATCACACAAAATGGTCACACATTCTTCTTCAGCTTGACTGAGACTGCTGAGAATCCTCTTCATCCAGAGACATTGAGTTGCACAAAAGGACGCAGCTACATACTCTGCCTCTGTTGTTGAAAGAGTCACGATCGGCTGCTTCTTAGAACTCCAAGCCACAGCTGCGTTACTCATGAGAAAAGCGTACCCAGAAGTGCTTCTCCCACTATCTACGTCACCAGCGAAGTCACTATCCGTATATGCCTTCAATGTCCCTTCCCCGAAACTTGTATACAGCAGCCCCATTTGCAAGGTACCTTTGATGTATCTCAAAACTCTTTTTACTGCCAAGAGATGAGCAGCTTTCGGTTGCATCATGAATCTGCTTAAGAAACAAACCACAAACATAATATCGGGCCTTGTAGCTGTCAAGTACATAAGGCTCCCGATTAATTGTTTGTATAGCGATGGATCTGCATCTTCTCCTTCCATGTCCCTTGATAATTTAGTACCAGGAACCATTGGATTGTTTACGGGATTGCAGTCTTCCATCCTATATCTGGACAACACTTCAGCGGCATACTTCTTCTGGCATAGAAAGATCCCGCTCTCACTCTGATCAACCTCCACGCCTAAGAAGTAACACATTTTTCCCAAGTCTGTCATCTCGAACTCCTCTTGCATCGAAGCCTTGAACTGCTCACACATTGCCAAGTCGTTTCCGGTGAAAATTAAATCATCAACGTACAGGCTTATGATGAGCATTCTCCCCCTTGATTCGTGTTTGATGAACAACGTGTGCTCAAGCTCACATTTGTTGAATCCTTCCTTAGTGAAATACTCTTCGATCTTACTGTATCAAGCTCGTGGAGCTTGCTTGAGACCATAAAGTGCTTTTTTGAGTTTGTACACTTTATGTTCCTCACCGATCTTCTCATATCCCTCCGGTTGCTCCACGAACACGGTTTCTTTTAATACCCTGTGAAGAAAAGCGCTTTTGACATCAAGCTGGTACACAATCCACTTTCTCTTTGCGGCTTCTGCTAACAACATCCTGATGGTGTCCCATCGAGCTACTGGCGCAAACACTTCGTCATAGTCCACCCCATGTTTTTGCGAGTAGCCCTTTGCCACAAGTCTAGCTTTGAACTTCTCAACCTCGCCTTTCTCGTTCATCTTGGTCTTGTATACCCACTTAACTCCAATTTTCTTCACTCCCACCGGTAAATCCACTAGTTCCCATGTGTCATTTCTCTCAATGGACTTGATTTCAGCATCCATTGCTTCTCTCCACTTCCTTTCCTCAGCCGCTTCCAAGTAGGTATAAGGATCCTCATGCGACACATACAAAGCTACGTACTGAAATTCTTCTTCTTCGTCACTTGTGAGATCCCCATGTCTTACATAGTCTTGTAAATAACTCAGTGGATCTCTGGTTCGCGGTTGAAGTGCTGGACTAGTTGTGACATTCGGCTCTGTTTCAATATCCGGATCTGTTGCTGCAGCAGAATTTTCTTCATTAGGAGTGTCTGCTACCACCTGAGTGATAACGATCTCAGGAGACTCCACACTTTGGTCTTCGTCTGCGATCACCAATTTGTCAATTTCTGCGTCATCCTTGCTTTTCTCCCAGCTCCAACCTTGTTTCTCATCAAAGATTACGTCTCTGCTGACAATAAATTTGTTTGTTACAGGATCAAACATCTTGAAAGCTTTTGAACCCTCACTTACGCCAAGAAAGACACACTTCTGTCCTTTATCATCAAGCTTTACTCGTTTCTGACTTGGAACATGAGCATATCCAACACAGCCGAACACTTTGAAGTGGTCAACGTTTGGTTTGATTCCGGTCCAACACTCTTGTGGAGTCTTTTCTTTCACCGCCGAGGTGGGACATCTATTAAGGATGTGGATAGTCCAGCTCGCAGCTTCTCCCCAAAATTTCTTAGGCATCTCCTTTTCAATCAGCAAGCACCTCACCATCTCCATGATTGTTCTATTCTTTCTCTCGGCCACACCGTTTTGTTGTGGCGTGAATGCTGCAGTGACTTGTCTCTTGATTCCATTAGATGCACAGAAATTATTAAATTCCTTTGAAGTGAACTCTCCACCACGGTCACTTCTTAGACAGCCTATCTTCATTCTCGTTTCGTTCTCCACCATCACTTTGAAGCTTTTAAAGAAAGTAAAAGCTTCGTTCTTGACCGACAACAGATAAATCCAGGTTTTTCTGCTGAAATCATCAATGAAGCTCAGAATGTACCTCTTTTCTCCAATGGTACTAGGCTGGATGGGTCCACCTAAATCTGTGTGTATAAGCTGCAATTTTTCTGTGGCTCAGTTAGCTTGCTTTGGAAATGTGTCTCTGTGTTGTTTCCCTTTTGCGCACACTCCACAAACCGCATGTACTTTCTCAATCTGAGGAAGTCCTACCACCATCTGCTTCTTCCACAGGTTCTCGAGACTTTGTTGATTCAGATGGCCAAACCTTTTATGCCACAGGTTTGGTTCTTCTTGTGAGACTTGCAAACACGTTGTCTCCGATGCATCAGCTAACACCACAAACATCCGATTTGCTGACATAGATGAATGTATGATAAGCCCCCACTCCTTATGAAACACCTTGCAGCTTCCGTCTTTGATGAGAATCGCCAGCTTCATTTCTTGTAATTGGCCGAGACTC